CTGCCCCAGCCTCGGGTGCAGGGAGACGCGCGGGCCGGGACACGCGCGGGCCGGGACACGCGCGGGCCGGGACACGCGCGGGCAGCTGCGTGCTGGGGCTCGGCCCTTAGAAACCGCGGGTACGTTTGAAGTCTGGTTGCACTTCGCACGGTTTTGCAAGAAGTCCACCCTTAGATTTAACAAGACACATAAGGAATTCCAGGCAGTTAGGTGCCTTTCTTCCAGCTTGAGTGCAACAGGCCTTTGTCAGTTGCAAAATCAAATCGCCTCTGCATCAAGAAACAGATTCACACTGGGTGATCGGCTGGCGGTTTACATTCGGGAATTTGACACGCTCATCTCTCACGACCCCAGAAGGTCGCCCATTATCTGCAGACAGATTTCCAGCTTCCTTATTGCTGTGATCTCTGGCAAGCTCAGTAGCTCTTGGGCACCAATTTTCTCCTCTATAAAATACAAACAAACAAACAAATACCCTTAGGGTTGTTGTGAGGATTAAACTGGGAAACACAAGTAAGGAATATAGAACAGAGTAAATACTAAATAAACTTAACTTTTGATATCTGAGTGCTTCCTTGGTGTCAAGGCACTGTTCCAGCCCCCGGACACTCCAATACCTCACCTTCATCTGGAAAGCCTTTTGTTGCCTGGATGCCTGATGCCATGAGGAACATTTCTCTTAAATCTCCCATGATAACTGAAAAGAAAAACCACTCCGTGAATGATGCCCAGGTCCCACATAGACCTAGAAGCCTGCCCACAAAGTCACCTTCCATGAAGGGAAGAGTTTAAGACAGTTGCTTTCCAAAAATATACTGATTGTTACTCTTCCACATTCCTACTCCTTGAGAAAGAAATACAGAGGGCTTAGAAAAATTAGAACTGGGAGACACATTCGAAATCACAGCTCAGCCCTTATAAGGTGTGTGTCATTTGACCTTGCTAAACCCCAATTTCCTCCTGTATAAAGAGGACAATGCCTACTTCACATGGGTGTAGTAAATGTTTAATAAGGAGGTATCTGAGGTAGTGTCTGGAGTGCTACAGGCATTCTATAAATCCTAGATAAATGCACAAATAAAGAGCAAAAACACTATTAAAGAGTCTCTTTTTTAAAAAAAAGGTAGAATTGGAGCCCAGCACAAGTGTTTTCAACGAACTATTACAAAATCAAATTTTTATTTTTACCTTTTCCTAAATTTTTTTTCTAGTTCCTTAATCTCATCTTGCTA